TCTACTTAGTAAATACATGTCTATAACTCCTTAGAAACAGAGAAAACAAGATACATTTGTATCCTCCCCTGTTCTCAGAGCTGTGCTTTGTCACCAAAGCAGTGCTGCTTAATAAGAAGGTGGTCAGAGGGTGGAGGCATCAGATGTCCGACAGAACCCACCAACCCGTCCCTGTAAACACAGGTCAAACCCACAGAAAAGCTACTTCCTTCTACGGCTTTATTAACTTTGTTTTCACTATACAATCCTGTTAATAATCAGAATTTTCCTTAAGGTGTTTTCATGCAATGAGTTTGTTTTGATCCATTTAAAAACAAACAAATAAAGGAAGGAAGGAAAAGGAGGGAAGCCAGGAAGCCAGCCAGCCAGTCTCTGGTTTTCTCTAAGAATTCATCCAAACTTCCCCTCTAGGCAGATGAGTCTCACAGAACCCACCAGCCTCAGAATAAGCCAACGCCTCAGAAAGCCCCCAGATACAGTATGCTCACAGTTTACCTAACATCAGCTGTTGGCTAATGGTTACAAATTCCTGACTGCCCTCAGAGTTTCTTAATAGCAGAGGTTATTCATTTTTTTAATCTCTAATCTCAGCACAGTGCTCAGAACATAGTCAACACCAATGCTTGTTGGATTAACAATTGAATTTGACATTACAGTGCAATTAGAGCCTGGACCCAGGGCTTCCACCCCTGGTTGGCTCTGTCCTTCCCACCACTCACCCTGTAGAGACTGAACTCACTCCTGGGGGTTGAGGTGGGACAGATAAGGAATGTGTGGGCAAGAGGAAGGCTGTGAGAGCCAAAGACTGGCTGGGCTAAGTCTAAACAGTCAGGCTTGGCTGTACTTTCAGTGACGTGGGTCAACTGACACAGCCCTCTGAGTGCAGCAGAAAGTGGTGATGACGGTTCTGCAGGACAGGAGAGCTTTCACTCCACGGCTCCCTCCAGCCCCCTCTCAGCAGAATTTCCAGTTCTACCAGCTGGGCTCTCCTCCCCCACAGAGCAGGCTGTGCCTGCCTACCCAGGGCTCACTCCAAGGGCCTGGTATCAGACTTCTGGCCAGCCAGCTGCTTCCTCCCATCTGACCCCCACACTATAAAACACATGACACCAGGCGGACTTTAGACAGAAACCCTGCTTATCAGGGAGTCCCAGGCAGATGAACCCTGAGTTTTCAGTGCCTGGAAAACCCCAGTGTGTATCCACTCACTCTAATTCTCACAACCCTCTGACGACAATGAAACTTCTTCCACACTTACATTTGACAAGTGGCCATTCAGCCCTTTCCTGAACCTCTAGAGAGGAAGCTGGGCTGAGTTTAGAGATCCCCAAAGTCTCCCCTCAATGCTAACAGAAGTGAAAAACAAGCCCAATTTTCTTCTAATCTCTCACATAAAATGTACGTAGCTTTTAAATCTGTCCTTGAGCAGGAGTGTCAGCCACTTCTGAATCCACAGAATAGATGCCCCTTAACCCAAAGGGCCTGGGGAGGAAGTGGGGAGAGCGTAGAATATTCCAACGGCCAAGGCCACACCAACAATATGAAAAGAACTCCAGGGCATATCAAATGAAATAAACAAGATACAGGATGGAATAGAATGTATAGAGGTGCCTCCTTTTGTGTAAGGAAAGGGAAAAGAAAGCAATATATATTTATATATACTGATAGCTGCATAACAAACCACTGGAAAAATACACAGGAAACTAGGGGAGGTGTGGAAAGAACAGGAACCAGGTGGGAGTGATAACCCCACTCGTTTAACATTATTTTGATTCTCGAACCACATTAATATATTAACCTCTTCTAAACAGACAAACATTGTTGTTTGTTTTTTTAAATTACAGTAGCTCCAACCCAAGCTAAAACTAGGCTGGAGACGCCAGGCAAGCCCAGATCACAAGAAACTGAAGAGAACTGTCATAAAGTGAAAGTGTTCTGGAGTAAGGAAAGGAAAACTAAGACGACACTGGAATTCCACTGCCACTCACTTCCTTGTTTCACCTTGTTGCGTCACTAGTCTCTAGGTTCTGGTTTCGAGGGAACAATTCTTTCACGGATAACCCCCTGAAGAGGGAGGGGAAAGAGTGACTCACCAATCTACATTTTGAGGTGAGTCTAACCCTGAATACGAAAGCTAGAAAGGCTTGAGTCCAAAATATCGATATGAAACAGCCAGACTCACAGGTCGACCCAGACAGACACAGGGCAGCAGTTTCTCCCTCCTGGAATGCCTCAATGCAGACACTTCATGAAGGGGTGTGTGTGCAAACACCAGGGTTCCAACCAGGTATCCACTTCCCCTGTGGTCACATCAAAAGTCACCCTATACACACACATCTTGCTAAACAGAAACGCCTCTTCCTGCCTAGGAGGTAGCTGGAAACTTTTTTAAACATGGGCTCTCTAGCAGGAGGGAGGCTAGTATTCTTGGTCACCAGTTTTTCTTTTGGCCCAGTTCTCCCAGTATTTAGTCTCCAACCCTGTCCCAGCAGGTTCAGGCCTTCTTCTTCACTAGATTCCCCAGGCAGGGGTTGGGCCACTACTTGATCTTTTCTTCGTCCCCCATCGTCCTCCCTGATGGGGGAGTCCACGTGAGGAGCAAGGACATGCAGGCATCCTATATAAGCTTCCCACATCCCAAGGGCAGAGGACAGACCGGACAGGCAAGAAAGCCCCTACTTTTTCACTCGAGCCATTTGGAATCTGGCAGGGTCTCTGCCTGCTTTCTCTGACCTGCTCTACTGCGGGCAACATTCTTTCACCCTCACAAAATCCAAAGGAGGGTAAGAGCTGCCCACTAATAATCGCTTTCATGTATGTCATGTAGCTATTATCCCAGCTGATCCTCAGGATGAGGTTAGGACAAGTATTATTACTCCTGTAATACTCTTGTATTACAGATGAAAAGACTGAGTTACTAGACTATGATCACCAATAAGCCAGAAAGTCAAGCTAGAACCCAGGTGGGGGGTGGCCTGGTTGTTATTCCCATTCTCACTGTGCTAACCAAATAGCATCTCCCAGGTCTAGCCCTATTTACATGTGACAAGGTCAGTTCCTCCATCTCCAGGATATGTTACTTCCCAGGATCCACTGTCCTGTCAAGCTAATACAATATCATCTCAAGTTCCCTCTAAACCACTGTTTATTGATTCCCTGAACAGACTAGAGGACATTCCCAAGCCCAGAAGGGTGATATCACAATGCTTTCAGTGTCAATCTGTGGTAATACATTGTGGAGTTATTACAGAAAATAAGGGGGAAAGAGGAAAAGGGAGAAGGATGCAGTTCTAGGAGTCTTATAAGCCTGACAAATACTGTCACAAACACAGTTATTGACTCAGAAATTTCTAGGTTGGGAGGTGGGGAGATGAGTACGAGGGTTGACGGGGTTGGCAAAGTGTTTAGTACTGAGCATCACACACAACAAGGAAATGACTATGGGTGTCACTAGCATTTCTAAGATACAGACAGAAGTAAATGAAGAAGAATGGGAAGGAAAGAATGGAAATTGAAGAAAGGGGGGAAATGGAGGAGTAGAATGAAAGGGAGAAGTGAGGAAAAGAAAGAATCTAGTAAGAAAGAAAAATTGAAAAAGGTAGGTGAGATAGTGAACTCCAGAGCAGTATCCCAAACTGATATTTTGACATGCTGGTTCCTGTGTCACAGGGTGCCTGAGATGGGCCCAAGAGTAGAAAAAGGAGAAGTGAGTCAGGAGACTTTTGTTCCAGTCCCAGGTCCTTTCAGTCTTATCAAGTCATTTCCCCTCTTTGTACCTGTTTCCTGATCTGTACAATAGTGGGAGGGAGGATCTGACTTGTTGCTGGTCCAGGGTATCCCAAGGGTTAATGATTTTGTGATAAGAAACAAAGGAGTCGCCAATCCTTCTGTCTAAGGGCACCCTTCACACTAAGCAGTGAATTATCTTGTAACCACCAATATTGGTCTTAATTGTTCATCTCTACTACATTTCCAAAAACAGGGATCTTGAGGGGGAAATGGAGATTCTTACAGACCCCCTGCCGACACAACTATTCACAGTAGCACACACAGACACTCAAGAATCAGATAAGTGTACAGATGCTGACGCAGGTAGACTGAGGCACAAACCACAAATTCAGTCAGGCACACGCACAACTGTAGACAGAGGCCTGCCCCAGAAAGTGAGCCTCACTGTTCCACAGGAAAGGGAGTTGACAAAGGAAACAAAAACTCTCAAACATGGCCAAGGGGGGAGGGCAGAGTTCTGGCTCACAGAAGAAACCAGCCAACCAAAAAACACGACCTTCCCCTGGGAATGGTCTCTCCGTCAACAACATTTATTAAGGACTCCTAAAGTAAGTTATGCTAGAAAGGAACTTTGAATGCTGTGCTAAGAAATTTTAGATTTCAATTTTATGCATTTCCTTTAAAAAAAAGGGGGGGGTCGCAATTGGACACTTTTCCCGGAGCAATCATGCAACCCAAAGATTCGGGGAAAGCTAAAAAGACCCTTCAGCAACAACCAGGGAAAGGGACTTCCACTCCAGTCGACCTCCATTAGATTTTCTCTGAGGACCCTTCAGGAGTAAAACATCCCAAGAGAGGCAGGGGACGGGAGGCTCCCGACTAATCTCGGATGGTTGGCGGATGTTGGAGGGGCAGGATGGCCCTTCCCAGATGCGTGATCCCGCCTGGGCAGCGCCCCCGAGCCCACCAGCACTCAGCAGTGAGAATGGAGGAAAGGGGCACCAACCTTCCCCCGTTATTTTTGGTAAAAGTGCGGAAGAGGCAGCTCCCTCCGGGTGGATGTAAGAGGGGATCCTTATTCATAAGTGTGGGGGAGGGGAACCAGCCACTCACCAGGGGAAGGGGGAAGGGAAAAAAGAGGGACGAGGGCTAGGAGGGTGAGGCGGGGTGGTTTCAGAACCCCTCCCCTCTCGCGAGCCAGAGGTGTGGGGAGCGCCTCCTCCGACCTCTGTTCAGACGCACGGATTCCTCCGAAAACTCCGGGAACTTACACAGGATCATCGACGTGAAGAGAAGCAACTCTGTGCCGCCGACTTTCACCTTTGTACCCATCACGATCAAGATCCCGATGCGACAGCAGTCACTGCGACCCTGGAAACAGACCCAGCTTCGCCCACGGCGGCGCGGGGACTAAACTCCGGACGCCAGGTTGAGCGCTGCCCGGCCCTTCCCTTCACGCCCGATTGGTCGGCGCCGCGCCTCTGCACTTTCCGATTGGTGCAGGGAGCCGCCGCTCCTCTGAGTGACTCACCGGCGCCAGGTGCAGTCCCGCCCACCACTCCCCGTAAGGCGGACTGGAGCGGTTCCAAGCCCGATCCGCCCCTGACCGGGCCCGGAGACTGGCGCGCGGAGACCCAGGCCTCACCTTCTGCAGGTGAGGACTGTGATTGGGCGGCGTTCCTGAAGTAGGGACTTTGTGACTGGCTAGGCTCCGAACTGGAGCCGGAGGATTAGAGGAACACCTGAACGGAGGTGCTCGGGAAGGTGGCGGTTCTGTGCCCGGCTTTGTTTGTTCGTGTGTAATGCTTTGTTTATTCGGAATGTAAATTGCAGCCGCAGAAACCTTGGTCCAGCCCTTTGTCAAGTGAAAACCACGTGTATTAATATGTGAGGGTCGGGAGAGAAGCCCCTCAACGTGTGTTCCTCTGTCCACTCCATTCGCAGGATTCAAGGCTGCGCTAGAGGAGGAAAGGGAAAAGAGGTGGGAACGAAGCGCTCAGTTCAGTGGGAAGGGCAGAATCGAATCACCACACACACCCAGATAATACACACTGACCTACAGACGCTCTATAAACATCACTGAGTGACTGTGGGTATGTCCTTTACACACGTTCAATCAGTCAGCCCAGGCCCGCATTTCCGTATTGCTTATCTTCTCACTGCGCATAATTGCGTGCCTGCTAAACCCTCTTTCTATAGGCTTTGTTGATACTCTTAATATTTATATTGTTACATCGTTTTTGTTTGAAACCCATTCGCAACACCTTTATTATTTCTAGTTTCTAATATTTTACAATCATTTTACATTATGATTGTAATACTTTTTTTTTTTTTTTAACTTTTTGGCTGCGCAAGGCTGCGTTCCGGATCTTACTTCCAGATCAGGGATTAAACCCACGCCCCCTGCAGGGAAAAAAAGGGTTTTTTCTTAGTATATCCAGGTTCCCTGTGGGAAAACTTCCTGGACTTCTCACTGGAAGTAAGAAGTCCATACTTGTATCCAAACCAGTGGTATTCTTTGACCTTTTGCTCTTTCATCTTTGTCCTCATTCCTTTGGGCCAAAAGTCCTCTTCACATTTCACCCAACTTAAATCAATGTTTATCAAGCACCTATTGGGTGCTGTGAGGTAATACAAATAAATATAAACCATAATCTGTGACTTCAAATGACTTACAGTTTACTTCCAATACAATACAGGAAACAGGACAATATGTATCCCAAAAAGAAACTTCGTAAAGTTTCAAAAGAGAAACACCTTGGAGAAGGAAATGGCAACCCACTCCAGTATTCTTGCCTGGAAAAATCCATGGACACAGGAGTCTGGCGGGCTGAAGTCCATGGGATTACATGACTGAGCATGTGTGCACGAGGGTGGAGGGAGATGGGTTGGTAGCAATGAACTGGTAGAACTAAAAAAACAAAAAAACAAGAGAAACACTTGCAAAGCTCTGGTCTTTAGCCTCAAGGGAATTTAAAGTCTTGGAGAGACATACACATAAAGTTAAATATGACAGTAAAGAGAAGAGAGAAGAGTTTAGAGAAGGGACCAGGCACTCTGGACTGTGATTGTCAGAGAAAATTTTAAGATGGGCAAACTTAAGCAGGGATTTTATCTATTTACATGTACACACTGTTTTGTTGTTGTTTAACCCCTGAGTTGTGTCCAGCTCTTTTGTGACCCCATGGACTATATATAGCCCATCAGGCTCCTCTGTCCATGGGATTTCCCAAGCAAGAATACTGGAGTGGGTTACCATTTCCTTTTCCAGGGGATCGTCCTGACCGAGGGATCGAAGCTGTGTCTCCTGTATTTGCAGGCAGATTCTTTACCAAGAGCCACCGGGGAAGCCCTAACAGTGCTTTATTTACTTATTTTTGGCTGTGCTGGGTCCTTGTTGCAGCACACAGGCTTCCTGTAGTTGCAAAGAGGGGCTACTCGCTAGTTGCAGCCCATGGGCTTCTCATTGCAGCAGCCTCTCCCGTTGTGGAGCACAGGCTCTAGGCACACAAGCTTCAGTTGCTGCAGCACGAGCGCTCTAGAGCATGGGTTCCGTAGTTGTAGCTCACCAGCTCCGTTGCTCTGCGGCATGTGGAATCCTCCGTCACCAGGGATTGAACCTGGGTCCCTGCATTGGCAAACAGATTCCTAGCCACTGGGCAGAGAAGTCCCTCAGGCAGGGATTTAAAGGAACTCTGAGACTAATCAGTCTTTAGGTAAAAGGGATGTCTTAAAGGTCATTTAGGTCACTTTCTCACCCTTCACAGAAAGGAATTCAGTGACAGACAAAGTGATAGGTAGTGGATCTATTTAGGGAGAAACATACTGCACAGGGTATGGGCATCTCAGAAGAGGCCCTGAAATAAAGTGTGGTTAGTTTTTACGGAGAAGGCAATGGCACCCCACTCCAGTACTCTTGCCTGGAAAATCCCATGGACGGAGGAGCCTGGTAAGCTACAGTCCATGGGGTCGCTAAGAGTTGGACATGACTAAGAGACTTCACTTTCACGCACTGGAGAAGGAAATGGCAACCCACTCCAGTATTCTTGCCTGGAGAATCCCAGGGACGGGAGCCTGGTGGGATGCCGTCTATGGGGTCGCACAGAGTCAGACATGACTGACATGACTTAGCAGCAGTTTTTATGGGCTGGGTAATTTCATAGGCTAATGACTGGGAGGATTATTTCAACTACTTCAGGGAAGGGGCAGGGATTTCCAGAAATTAGGCCGCTGCCCTCTTTTTTGGCCTTTGATGGTTAGTCTCAGAACTGTCATGGTGGGTGTGTCGTTTAAATGCTAATATATTACAAAGGCTTCCCTGGTGGCTCTGGCGGTAAACAGTCTGCCTGCAATGCGGGAGATCAGGGTTCAATCCCTGGGTTGGTAAGATTCCCCTGGAGAAGGAAATGGCAACCCACTCCAGTATTCTCGCCTGGAAAACCCCATGGATGGAGGAGCCTGGCAGGCTACAGTCCGTAGGGTCGCAAAGAGTTGTACACAACCGAGGGACTTCATTTCATATTACAAAGAGTGTATCATGGGGCTCAAGGGCTTCCCAGGTGGTCCTCAGTCAATTCAGTCTCTCAGTCATGTCCGACTTTTTTTGGACCCCAAGGACTGCAGCACCCCAGGCTTCCCTGTCCATCACCAACTCCCAGAGCTTGGTCAAACTCATGTCCATCGAGTCGGTGATGCCATCCTGTTGTAGCCACACGTTCTGGGAAACAAACTCACTCAGAAGGACAATGCAGATAGTGGAGTGCAGTTTATTATACCAGCAGGCCCAAGGAAGAGTCTCCTCTTAGCCAAGGAGCCCGACCAGTTTTTATGAAAACTTGATATACCCTAAGCGTACATGCCCAAACCCACCTCCCCAAATTCCCTGAAACTAGTCTGAACAAAGGAGAGAAAAAAAAAAAAGATACAATCAAAGTTAACCCGTGATTCATATGCCTTAAGCCTAGGTAGTTAACAGTGGACAATTATCAATAGGCTTGTGGTCATACCCCAATAAGCATAATAGAATGTATGATTCTATTCAGTTACACAGATAATTAGGGTATTCTTTTAGGCGATGGAGAGCCTTGGGGCTCTTTCTTCCGGGGGTCTGGTTTTCCAGTTGGTATGTCGTTTCCATCAATATTGGGCATATAGCTCATAGTCCACAGTCCAGCCCAAGATGGAGTCCTGCTTTCTAGAGAGAACCTGTTCTGTTTCCTCCTTCAATCCAACCATCTCATCCTCTGTCAACCCCTTCTCCTGCCTTCAATCTTTCCCAAGTGGTGCTAGCAGTAAAGAATCTGCCTGCCAATGAGGAGACACAAGAGATGCAAGTTCCATCCCTGGGTCAGGAAGATCCCCTGGAGTAGGAAATGGCGCCCCACTCCAGAATTCTTGCCTGGGAAATTCCATGAACAGAGGAGCCTGGGGAACTACAGTCCATGAGGCCACAAAGAGTCGGAGATGACTGAGTGACTGGGCACTGTCTATCTGTCTGTAACGGGGCTCAAGGTTCACTGGAAGGCGAATTTTCCATCTTGGACCTTGTGGGTTCTAATCAGTTTTTGTCAGGGCCGATGTCTATATCATTCTTTTAAAGGTTGTTCCCTGCCCCCTTCCCTCCTGTTTTATTTCAGATAGTCTTCATATTGTTACTCTAAAACTGGGTTTGCCTCTTGGTATCACACCAATAGACAGCAGAGGCAATGATCAGGAGAAGGAAGAATTTATTATCACTAGCAGTAAGTAAGGAGAGCCCCGGGGGTTTTTCCCAAAGCAGCATCTCCCTGAAAAGCAAAATTGGGGGACTTTTGGATTTCCCTGGTGGCTCAGACGGTAAAACATCTGGCTACAATGCGGGAAACCCGGGTTCAATTCCTGGGTCAGGAGGATCCCCTGGAGAAGGAAATGGCAACCCACTCCAGTACTCTTGCCTGGAAAATCCCATGGACAGAGGAGCCTGGTAGGCTACAGTCCATGGGGTTGCAAAGAGTCAGACACGACTGAGCGACATAACTTTTAAGCTAAAAGTACACATATATTCAGGAAGGGGCTTGAGGAGAGAACTTAGCATAGAATTGGGGCAAAGACTGACAGAGTCCAAACTTTAGTTGATTGAAGTCAAAAGGGTCAGCAACAGCATTCCACCTCTGTGGAGGTATTAGCTCCACACAGGACTTATTATTATGTATATCCCTTGAGGAGGAACTAGGACTATGCTCTTTCATTGTACTATTGCTTGCCTTTTCTCTGTTAGTGCATTCCTTTGTTCCTTAAGATCATTAGTTACTGAGACCTGTTCAAGGGTAAACATAGCTCCAGGCTTAGGTCACAAAATGTCTTAGGCCAAAATGACTTCTCTTATAACAAGAAAGCCATTAATTGTTCTCTTTCTCCAGAGATTCCCCTAACTTATCTGCTTACAAAATGGCACAGATTCACATGCCCCCGATTAATCTCACTCCTCTGGATAACCCCTTGTTTATGATTTTACCAAGAACTGAGCCAGGCGCTGGAGAAACTCTCTCTCTAAGGGGTAGACAGATCTCAGTTAAAACCCAATTCCCCAATCTAACTATCTGTCCTTCGTCAGCTCACATTTCTCTGAAATTTTCTCCATTCCGAAAGCAGTTATGATGGTGGCAATATTGTCCTTTTTCTATTCTAACTACCTAACAACATGACTTACCTTAGGACAGGGAAGCCTGGCATGCTGCAGTCCATGGGGTCGCAAAGAATCAGATACAGCTGAGCAGCTGAACAACAACAATGGCAAAATAAGAATTAAATAATATAATAGATATACTATGCTTACTTGGCACAGGGCCTGGTACATTTTAAGAACTGCACTGGTAGTTATTTTCATCACTCTTATTTTCACTCTAATAAAGCATTTGCAACCTCCTACTCATGTCAGTTAATCTACAACAAAGGAGGCAAGAATAAATATTGGAGAAAAGACAACCTCTTCAATAAATGGTATAGAGAAAACTGGACAGCTACACATAAAAGAAAGAGATTAGAACATTTCCTCGCACCATATTCAAAAATAAACGCAAAATGGATTAAAGACCTAAACATTAGACCTAGAAGAGAACATAGGCAGAACACTTTTTGATGTAAATCATAGCAATATACTTTAGATCTGTCTCCTAAGGCAAGAGAAATAAAAACAAAAATAAACAAATGGGACCTAACTACACTTAAAAGCCTTTGCACAGCAAAGTAAAAGACAATCTACTGACTGAGAGAAACTACTTGCGCAAGATATGCTAAATAAGGGGTTAGTATCCAAAATATATAAACGGCTCATATAACTTAATATCAATAAACAGCCCAGTTTTATTTATTTTTTTTGGCCTCTCTGGGTAGCATGAGGGCTTAGTTGCCCCCACACATTGGGTCTTAGCTGCTCCACCAGGGACCGAACCCATGTCCCCTGCTTTGGAAGGCAGATTCTTAACCACTGAACCACCAGGAAAGTCCCTATGTTTTAAATTTACTTTTAATTGGAGGATAGTTGCTTTAAAATGTTGTGTTGGTTTCTGCCCTACAACAATGTGAATCAGCCATGGGTATATATACATCCCCTTCCCTCTTGAACCTCCTTCCCTAACCCACCATCCCACCCCTCTTGGTTGTAACAGAGCACCAGGTTGAACTTCCTACAACCAGGTTTTAAAAACAGCCCAGATAGACAGCCTTCCAAAGAAGACATACACATGGCTAATAAGCACATGAGAAGATGCTCAACATCACTAAGTATTAGAGAAATGCAAATCAAAATCACAATGAGATCACCTCACACCTGTCATAATGATTATTATCATAATGTCTATAAACAGTAACTGTTGGCAAGGAAGTGCAGGGAAGAGAACCCTGGTACGCTGTTGGTGGTAATGTAAATTGGTGCAGCCAGTATGGAAGTTCCTCAAAAAATGAAAAGTAGAACTACCATATAATCCAACAATTCCACTCTGTAGTGTTTAGCCAAAAAAACACTAATTTGAAAAGATAACATGCATCCCTATTGGGATATTTTCACAGTAGCATTATTTACAACAGCTAACATATGGAAGCAGTCTAAGCATCAACAGGTGAGTGGATAAAGCAGATGTGACTGATACACACACACAGAAGAAATACGAAATTAAATTAAACCATGAAAAAGAATGAAATTATGCCATTTGCAACATTTTGGTGGACACAGAGAGTATTAAGCTTAATGAAATAACTTAGACAGAAAGACAAATACTGTATGTTATCATTCTATTGTTGTTCAGTTGTTCAGTCGTGTCTGACTCTTTGCAACCCCAGGGACTGCAGCATAACAGGCTTCCCTGTCCTTCACTATCTACCGGAGCTTGCTCAAACTCATGTCCATTGAGTTGGTGATGCCATCCAACCATCTCATCCTCTGTCGTCCCCTTCTCTTGCCTTCAGTCTTTCCCAGCATCAGGATCTATTCCAATGAGTCAGCTTTTCACACCAGGTGGCCAAATTATTGGAGCTTCAGCGTCAGCATCAGTCCTTCCAGTGAATATTCCAGACTGATTTCCTTTAGAGTTGACAGTTTGATCTCATTATATATGGAATCTGAAAAAACAAAAGTATGTAACAAAACATAAGGGCTTCCCTGGTGACTCAGCTGATAAAGAATCCACCTGCAATGCAGGAGACCCCGGTTCAGTTCCTGGGTTGGGAAGATCCCCTGGAGAAGGGACGGGCTGCCCACTTCAGGAGGGCTGGGCCCACTCTTGGGCTTCCCTGGTGGCTCAGATGGTGAAGAATCTGCCTGCAATGTGCGAGACCTGGGTTTCTTCCCTGGGTTCGGAACATCCTCTGGAAGGGGGCATGGCAACCCACTCCGGTATTCTTACCTAGAGAATCTCCACGGACAGAGGAGCCTGGCGGGCTGCAGTCCATGGGGTCACAAAGAGTTAGGTATGACTGAGCGACTAAGCACATGTAACAAGACAGACTCACAGATATGGAAAACAAACTAGTAGATACTAGTGGGGAGAGGGAAGAAGGTCAAGATAAGGGGAATGGGATTAAGAGATGCAAATTATTATGTATAAAATAGATAAACAATAAAGATATATTGTGTAGCACAGGTAAATTAGCCATTTTCTTATAATAACCTTAAATGGAATATAATCTATAAAAATATTCAATCACTATGCTGTACGTCTAAAACTAATATAGTATTGTATATCAACTATACTTCAATTTTAAAACTGCATTTGCAAGTATAATATTAATATTATAGAATTTTAACAAGTAATATTAATGTTATTATAAATACTAAGTAATTTATAGTCAATTTACAGCAAACTAAAACCCACAAGCCTCTTATTTTTTAATAATATTTATTTTAATTTATTTATTTGACTGCACCAGGTCTTAGTTGAAGCATGTGGGATCGAGTTCCCTGACCAGGGATCAAACCCAGACCTCCTGCACTGGAAGCATGGAGCCTTAGCCACTGGGCCGCCAGGGAAGTCCCAGCCTTTTATTTTTGCTTGAACTACTATTAAACCAGATCTCTCACATACTATCTTTCTACAGTTGTGGGGTTTTGTCCACCCTGTGCAGCATGCAGGGATCTTAGTTCCCCAACCAGGGATCAAACCTGTGGCCAGTGCATTGGGAGCTCAGAGTCTGAAGCATTGGACCACCAGGAAAGTCCCTAATCAATTTCTTAAAAATATGTAAATTCGTTTATTTGGTTACATCAGGTCTTACTTGCAGCATGTGGGATCGAGTTCCCTAACCAGGGATGAATCTAGTTCCCTGACCTGGGCCTCCTGCATTGGGAGCCCAGAGTCCTGCCACTGGACCACCAGGGAAGTCCCCCTGTGCAATGTTAACCACAGTACATTTGCACTTATCACTACTCAATTTTATATTTTTTGTTTTGAAAATGAATTAATATACAGAAAAGTATACATGTAGTAATGTTAATGATTAAAGTAAATACAAATAATGTGCATTCCAGTTATTTCTATATAAAATATTTATGTATATATTTACAAAGCATAAAGGGGCTCTCCTGGTGGCTCAATGGTAAAGAGTTCACCTGAAAGGCAGGAGACTGCCTGCCATGCAGGAGACGTGGGTTCTATCCCTGGGACACAAAGATCCCCTGGAGAAGAAAATGGCAACCCACTCCAGTATTTATGCTTAGGAAATCCCATGAACAGAGGAAGCCGGCAGGCTACAGTCCATGGGGTCGAAAGAGTTGGACATGACAGCAGCTGCACCATCACAAAGCATACAAGTAAATTTGGAGTGTACAAATAATTGTTTTAATTATGTATTTGTTTTTGGCTGTGGTAAGTCTTCGTTGCTGCTCACGGGATTTCTCTGGTTGTGGCGGGCATGGGGTACTCTCTAGTTTTCGTGTGCAGCCTGCTCACTGTGGCGGCTTCTCTTGTCGTGGAGCTCAGGCTCTAGCAGTTGTGGCACACGAACACAGTTGTTATGTCTCTTGGGTTCTACAGCTCGGGCTCAGTAGTAGTGCTGCATGGGCTTAAATTGCTCTGCAGCACATGGCATCTCCCCAGACCAGGGATCGAAACCATGTCCCCTGAATTGGCAGGCAAATTCTCATCCACTGCACCACCAGTTCAGTTCAGTTCAGTTGCTCAGTCGTGTCCGACTCTTTGCAGTCCCATGAACCGCAGCACGCCAGGCCTCCCTGTCCATCACCAGCTCCCGGAGTTTACTCAAACTCATGTCCATCGAGGCAGTGATGCCATCCAACCATCTCATCCTCTGTCGTCCCCTTCTCCTCCTGCCCCCAATCCCTCCCAGCATCAGGGTCTTTTCCAATGAGTCAACTCTTCGCATGAGGTGGCCAAAGTACTGGAGTTTCAGCTTCAGCATCAGTCCTTCCAATGAACACCCAGGACTGATCTCCTTCAGGATGGACTGGTTGGATCTCCTTGCAGCCCAAGGGACTCTCAAGAGTCTTCTCCAACACCACAGTTAAAAAGCATCAATTCTTTGGCGCTCAGCTTTCTTCACAGTCCAATTCTCACATCCATACATGACCTGTGGAAAAACCATAGCCTTGACTAGACGGACCTTTGTTGGCAAAGTAATGTCTCTCTTTTTTAATATGCTGTATAGGTTGGGCATAACTTTCCTTCCAAGGAGTACGTGTCTTTTAATTTCATGGCTGCAACCACCATCTGCAGTGATTTTGGAGCCCAGAAAAATAAAGTCAGCCACTGTTTCCACTGTTTCCCCATCTATTTGCCACGAAGTGATGGGACCGGATACCATGATCTTAGTTTTCTGAATGTTAAGCTTTAAGCCAACTTTTTCACTCTCCTCTTTCACTTTCATCAAGAGGCTCTTTAGTTCTTCTTCACTTTCTGCCATAAGGGTGGTGTCATCTGCATATCTGAGGTTATTAATATTTCTCCTGGCAATCTTGATTCCAGCTTGTGCTTCCTCCAGCCCAGTGTTTCTCATGATATACTCTGCATATAAGTTAAATAAGCAGGGTGACAATATACAGCCTTGACGTACTCCTTTCCTTATTTGGAACCAGTCTGTTGTTCCATGTCCAGTTCTAACTGTTGCTTCCTGACCTGCATACAGGTTTCTCAAGAGGCAGGTCAGGTGGTCTGGTATGCCCATCTCTTTCAGAATTTTCCACAGTTTATTGTGATCCACACAGTCAAAGGCTTTGGCATAGTCAATAAAGCAGAAATAGATGTTTTTCTGGAACTTTCTTGCTTTTTCAATGATCCAGCAGATGTTGGCAATTTGATCTCTGGTTCCTCTGCCTTTTCTAAAACCTGCTTGAACATCTGGAAGTTCACGGTTCACGTATTGCTGAAGCCTGGCTTGGAGAATTTTAAGCATTACTTTACTAGCGTGTGAGATGAGTGCAACTGTGTGGTAGTTTGAGCATTCTTTGGCATTGCCTTTCTTTGGGATTGGAATGAAAACTGACCTTTTCCAGTCCTGTGGCCACTGTTGAGTTTTCCAAATTTGCTGGCATATTGAGTGCAGCACTTTCACAGTATCATCTTTCAGGATTTGAAATAGCTCAACTGGAATTCCATCACCTCCACTCGCTTTGTTCATAGTGATGCTTCCTAAGGCCCACTTGACTTCTCATTCTAGGATGTCTGGCTCTAGGTGAGTGTGAGTGATCACACCATCATGATTATCTGGGTCGTGAAGATCTTTTTTGTACAGTTCTTCTGTGTATTTTTGCCTCCTCTTCTTAATATCTTCTGCTTCTGTTAGGTCCATACCATTTCTGTCTTTTATTGTGCCCATCTTTGCTTGAAATGTTCCCTTGGTATCTCTAATTTTCTTGAAGAGCTCTCTAGTCTTTCCCATTCTATTGTTTTCCTCTATTTCTTTCCATGGATCTCTGAGGAAGGCTTTCTTATCTCTCCTGGCTATTCTTTGGAACTCTGCATTCAATTGGGTATATCTTTCCTTTTCTCCTTTGCTTTTCGCTTCTCTTCTTTTCTCAGCTATTTGTAAGGTCTCCTCAGACAACCATTTTGCCTTTTTAGATTTCTTTTTCTTGGGGATGGTCTTGATTCCTGTCTCCTGTACAATGTCACAAACTTCCATCCATAGTTCATCAGGCTCTCTGTCTATCATATCTAGCCCCTTAAATCTATTTCTCACTTCCACTGTATAGTCATAAGGGATTTTATTTAGGTCATACCTGAATGGTCTAGTGGTTTTCCCCACTTTCTTCAGTTTAAGTCTGAATTTGGCAATAAGGAGTTCATGATCTGAGCCACAGTCAGCTCCCAACCTTGTTTTTACTGACTGTATAGGGCTTCTCCATCTTTGCCTGCAAAGAATATAATCAATCTGATTTCGGTGTTGACCACCTGGTGATGTCCATGTGTAGAGTCTTCTCTTGTGTTGTTGGAAGAGGGTGTTTGCTATTACGAGTGCATTCTCTTGGCAAAACTCTATTAGCCTTTGCCCTGCTTCATTCTGTACTCCAAGGCCAAATTTGCCTGTTGCTCCAGGTGTTTCTTGACTTCCTACTTTTCCATTCCAGTCCCTTGTAATGAAAAGGACATCTTTTTTGGGTGTTAGTTCTAGAAGGTCTTGTAGATCTTCAGAGAGCCGTTCAACTTCAGCTTCTTCAGTGTTACCACCAGAGAAGTCCCAAATAATTTGATATTCACCAGGTTCTTTTTCCCATAAATTGATGAAATAAATAATAAATTTTAAAGTTTTGTTATCATTAACATTTGTTTTCTGTAGTCTTTTAAGAAAAAATAGATTTTGTAAACTTCAGATTGGTGAGTTTGTTTGCAAAGTGGAAAATTCTGGAAGGAAATATTAAATATAAATCTTGATTCTGTCATCCAGTATATTAGCAGGTGAACCTGAATCTGTATTATATGCC